TGAAACACATTTCACTGAAGAAGTAAAGATGGCCAACACATATGTGAATAGACGCCGAACATCACTGATAGCAGGGAAACGCAACTAAAACTGCAGTGAGATATCACTTCACATCCGTTAGGATGGCTGTTATCAAAAAGAAAAGCGATAACAAGGGTTGGCAAGTACGTGATAAAAGGGAACACTTGCACACGGCCATGTGAAAACTAATGGGGCAGTTCCTCCCAGTATTAGAACTAGAGCAACCCTGTGATCCAGTGACCCCTCCACTGGGTATATATACCCAAAGGAAGTGATTTTAGCTCTTCGTGGAGATATTGTACATCCTAAATCTATGCAATAAAAAACTTTATTTGTTTGTTGGTTTTTTTTTAGAGGTTTTTGCTATAGGGTGTGTGCACTCACCAGACAGAGAGAGAGAGACAGAGAGATAGAAAGTGAGAAATCACCCCTCAGGGGGGATGGCCACGCCACAATCCCTTCTCCCCCATTCTCCTCTCGGGATCTTGGGCACGCACACACACGCGCCTGGCGTGAGTTTAAGCCACCGGGTCTCGGACGCGAACTGCGGTCGACTACATGGGAGTCCAGTGACATAGCCATTACGCTAACTGCTGATCCTGCAATAAAAAACTTTAACTAAAAAGCATATTTCTTTCAATATGGCTACGCTGGTTTGTATAACTTCAAAGTCTGTATATTCTGCCAATACCAAGCTCAGGTTCCACTGATTTGACAGTTGTTTTAAAAGAATGATCTGTTTTAATTTTATTTATTCATTTGGGAAGATGAAAGACAGAGCCACCTCCGAGCGTGGCCCGGCCCAGCTCCCGTCTGGAGGAACGGGCTCCTTCCCCTGTCACTTAGCTCTGGGCCCACTCCTGTGTTCCCTTGGCATCAGGGACAGAGGTCCTGGCAGGCAGCGGGATGAAAGAAAGCAGACAGAAGGACCCTTCTGGGGGATGAGTTACAGAGCATCTTCGAGGGGCAGCTTGGTTTATTCTTCTCTTTTAGAGAGATTGTTATAGAGCATGTGAATTCACTGGAGAGAGAAACAGAGAAAGTGAGAAATCACCCCAAAAAGAGATGGCCACGCCACAATCCCTTCTCCATTCTCCTCCAAAGGTTTTGGGCATGCACATGCACGACCTGATGTGAGTCTCAAGCCAAAGGGCTGGGACGCCCACAGCGGTCGGGCCTGTGAGAGCCCACGTCTTACCCACCTGGCCACGTGCTGTCCCCAGCAGTTTGGATTTTAAAGTGGAGATGGTGGAGACACGGGTGCAGCAGAGGGGCCGCCTGTTCAATGGCGGAAGGAACAAGGAGGATGGGGAGGCCAGACCCTGGGGAAACTGGACATGCAGGGCACATGTGGAGCCTGAGATCGGGCGGCGTGGCCAGGCGGCGGGGGACACAGGGAGACGCCCTGTTAGTGAGCCTGAGCCTGAGCCCGTGTCCCTGTTTTCTTCTCTTGCTCATGGAATAAGAAATAGACAATTTACTTCTGAGAGTAAATAAATGAAGGAGGGGGACTTTCTGAATATTGAGTTCCCGTGCTCTTTTACAGACGAGGAACTAATGGATTAGGTTCAGCGAGGCCCTCCCCGCGTGTGCATACACAGAACAGGGCTCCGTGGGCCCAGGTCTTCGGCCGGGATGGGCTCTACACAGAGTCCCCAGTGCCCCTTGTCATCTATGATATCCCTGAGTGCAAAGAAGGCTTCGAGAGAGAAGGGACGTGACCGATTAGAGCCCCAGGGCAGGTCCTCATTCTGCGCTTTGGAGCCTGGGGACAGCAAAGAGGGGGCCAGAAAAGTGGATACTCAAGTCTGACTTGTCACTCCTTCCCCACTCCCGTCCTTCTGTGGAGATAATCAGCCCCTAATTACAGCTGAAATGCGTGCAGAGCCAAACAACCGCTGTAATTGTGGAGGGACAGGGATAGGCAAGCTTCAGGGACTGGGATTCCACAGAGGGTTTCCTCATCCTGACAGAGTGACAGCTTCAAAACTGAGGAAGACGCGCCCATGGTCTACATTAACCCCGACTCTGCACTCCAGACGTGCGAGTTCTGCCTGAGGCCCGCCTGGCCCAAAGAGCTGGTCAGGCCTGACAGCACGCACCATGGCCACCACGGTGAGTAGGCCTCGCGGTGCTTCTGTTCACCCCAGAGGCCATGGCGACGCCTCAGAAGCACATTCCTCACTTCCCTCTGACTAAGGGAGGCAGCTCAGCAGAGGGGCTGAGCCCCGAGACCTTCACTTCTGACCTACAGGTAGGCCCCAGGGCCCAGAAAGATGGCGGGACCCCTTCTAGCCACCCGTGCATCCCCGTGCCTCAGCTCAGGTCTGGTCCTTCGGAGAGCTCAGGGGAGGGTGTGCATACGGCTGTCACTTGGCGTCGGCAGAATCAGAAAGTGGCAGCAGCCTCTAGACATCAGGGGAGCACCCTCCTTTCCCAGCCTCCATTCCCCTGCATTAGGCTGCTCGGAGTCACCAGCCTCCCTAAGGTGGCTCGCCTCCCTTTGGTGTGTCTGTATTTCCCATATGGCCGCCTGGGCTTTGCCATTCCGTCGCCAGCTCCCTACGGCGTGTGTGTTCCAGCTGAGGTGGTCCCTGGGTGTCTATCCTTAAAGCCACTCCTGACCGACGTGCAGTAATGGAGCGTCCCTGGACGTCAGTGACAGTACAAGCCAGCTCATGGGACCTTTAGCACCAGTTATGCTTAACGTTACGGTTGCTTTTTAGAGAATTCCTGCCCCTTTTCCTGACAGGCTATGAGTTAGGGCAGTCCGAGGTGACCAGGGGACTCAGGCTCCGAGTGCAAAGTGTGGCTTTTTACACTTTCCCGTCCTGAGTCCAAAACAGCTTGGAGAGTGGACACCCCGTCCTCTGACGCTGTCATTTCATTCAGTCAGAAAGAAAGGGGAGGGGTTATCCCGTGCTCAGAGGCCATCCGAATCTGATTCCAAGCTCTGGAATTTGGGGAAGGTGGAGGCGGGGCCAGAAAGATGAAAGTCCTAGAACGAAATAGGAAAACAACAAGAAGGCTCATGGATGAAGTGTCAGGACTGAGAAGGAGGGGGCAGGATTCCTGACAGACCAGGCCCCGACCAAGTGTCCAGCAGTTCCCGTGTCTGGGTCTGTGAGGAGCTGGGGCTCTTCCTGTCCAGGCCGCAGGACACTGTGCTCAGTGCTGGGCAGTAGGTCCTGTGAGGCAGCTCGGACCCTTTATGCAGACCCATCTCCCCGACAGTCAGCAGAGGAGGGGGAGCTGGAGAGGGGGTGGCTGACTCCCCCAAGGCCACGAGGGCACCTGGTGTGTGACAGCCCAGGATGGCATGGTCCACACTGCCGAGGCCTTCACGAGAAGCATAAACCCAGGGCAGCCACAGTGACGGGGGCAAGACCTGGGTAAGGGACTCCCGGTCATGTGAGTGGAGCATGTGCCAACCTGGGCTCAGATTCAACATCCTGGGTTCTTCATTTTGGGGCAAGTGTCAGTGGTTTAATAGAAATTTCTAGGTGGGATTGAGGTGGGGGAGGTTCACTGTGAAAAAGTGAAATCCTGTCCAGGCCAAGAAGCACAAAATCGAGCGTGGACTGGGAACAGAGCCTGCCGTTAGCTGGGTGGAGAGACCAGGAGAGGCTGCAGTCCTTGCCTCCAGGTTAGGCAGCGGCTGGACAGAGCTGTGGGCACCCTCGTGTGAGGGATGACACTGTCCTCCCGGGGAAGTCTCCATGCACACTGCCCCCCGCAGTGCTTCCTGGGAATGCCCAGTTCACGCACCGTCCTGCCTCATGACGGCCCCTAATCCCAGGTTCCCTGCCTTCTACTCGGCCCACCCTGCCCTGCCCACAGCTTCCCACAGAGCCCCTCCCGGCCCCGGACACCCACTCCTAGGAAGCCTGTGCCCAGCACCGTTCCTGCTCTGGGGCCGGCTGTGCCTGGCTGCCCCGACTCCGTGGAGCTGACCTTACTCCTAACACAGGCCAGAGCCAGTGGGCCGTGGCTCCCTGGGCTGCAACAGCCCAGGTCCTCTCAAGACCGCTATTCAGTCCACCACGAGTTCGAGGATGAGGAAACACTGAAAATTCCTTAGTGAAGTCACAGGACCGATCTCAGGTATGACAGAGGCCTCTGGAAATGCGAAGGTGAACGTGCCAGGGACTAAAACCTGGAAGCAGGAACAAACCAGGGACCGTTACTCTCAGGAGAATGAGAGAGCTGGGACATGCTGACCGGAAGAAAGGCCCCACCAACATGAAATATGGACAGCCCTGAGAGGCAGTAAACAGGCTGGAACAGCAGCATATCAAACGGTCTGAACCTGGGGTGAGGCAGGGACAGGTTGAGGGTGAACACCAGGTCTGGGGACTGACTGATGCTAACACAGTAGGACAAAATAGAGAGCACAGGGGGAAATTCTGGTACGGAAAATCTTCAGTTGCAGTGAGCCCATGCTGAGATGTAAAACCCATGGGATGAGGTCAGCAGGTGGTGGTGAGGTGGTCTCCCACATGGTTGTTCACGGTTCTAATCCCAGACCTGGCACCTCGCTTTCTCACTTTCCCTTTCCCTTTCCCTCTTCTCTTTCTCATTCTCTCTCGTCAAGTTAAAAATAATAATAATAAACCAATAATTCTTTCAAAAAAAAAAAAAAAAAGACGTGGTCTGTAAAGTGCTGAACAAGCAGTTCATTTCGCCCAGATGGTTCTAGAAAATAAAATCTCCTTTAAAATTTTCTACTTTGTTTCTCATACCCAAAATGGTGTTCTGAACTACACAGATGACCAGGCAGGCTGCCGCAGGGACAGGGACAAGTTCTTTGACCAGACTTTGCTGACTGGCTGTGTCGTGACCCTCAGGTCACGTCCTCTCACTCCCCGCAGAACCCTTGGGGACAGACCACCTTGGCAGACACATCCTCAGGACTGGTGCTGCCTCAGAACGTCTGGGAGGAACCGGAGACTCTTCTGCCCAGGAAGTAAAGAGTGGTCATGAATATCGCCAAGGGAGCCATCTTCCTCCTCCTGCTTGTGCTTGGCATGGTGGGGAACCTCACCGTCTTTGTGAATTACGCCTGGGCTTTCCTTCTGGATGCGGAGAAGAAAGCTGTGCATGTCATCCTCGTCCAGCTGACTTTCACAAACATCATACTGATTTTCACCAAAGCAATGTCACAGGTACTGGTAGCTTTCGGTGTGGAAAACTTCCTCCATGACGTGGGCTGTAAGATAGTCATTTACCTCCGCAGGGTGGCTCGGAGCCTGTCCATGTGCTCCTACAGCCTCCTCACGGTAGTCCAGGCCCTCACCATCAGCCCCAGGGACTCCGTGTGGGGGCGGCACCAGCCAAAGGCAGCTCGGCACATCCTTCCCTGCCTGCTCCTCTTCTCGGTGTTTTGCTCCTTGGTAAACATGCACGTACTGTACACCATCACGAACACAAGCAAGAATGGGTCACGTGAGATTCATGGTAATCACTACTGCCGTTTTCTGCCACAAAGCCAGGTAACACAATGGGTGATTGTCATTGTCATGGCCCTGCATGATGTCCTGTTTCTGGGATTCACGGGCGTGGCCAGTGGCTACATGGTGTTCCTTCTCCACAAGCACCACAAGCACGCGCTCTACCTGCAGAGCACCAAGCGCGTCTACACCACGCCCCCTGAGATCAAAGCCGCTCAAAGCGTTCTCCTTCTCATGCTTTGTTTTCTTCTCTTTTATTGGACAGATTCTATTATTACTTTATCTGTAAATTACGCCGTGAAGAATAATTCCATACTCATACTTGTTCAAGAACTTCTAGTTCTTGGTCATGCCATCCTCAGCCCCTTCGTGATGATTTATAGAGACAGGCGTCTGACTGAGTGTTGGCACATCTGTAAGACTTGAGGAAATGTTTGTGCTACAAAGAGCAGCCTAGGAGGGCTCCATAAACACCTGCTTACACAGTGTCGTGGAAGCAACTGGCGACCAGCCGCCTTGATCTGACACAGACACCATAGAAAGCTATCGGGACCCACTGTGTTTTCATTCTATATCCTGCCACCCTTCAAAAAGCGGCTTAAATTCCATTGTAAATACGGTGACCAGGCTTTTGGTAGGAAGGAGCAGGAACTTGGCAAAATCTGTCACAATCTCTAAGTCATTTGCCTCTTCACTCAGGAATCCCGCTTCCAGGACCTCATCCTTCAGATACACATGTTCATTTAAGAATCACGATAGTGGGGCCAGCAGGTGGCGCAGCAGGTATGTCACTGGACACCCACATGGCCAACCGCGGCTTGAAACGGATCAACAGCCTGCTTGCCCCCACCTGGGAGCAGAAAGAATCGGGGATTTGCAGCCAGGCCATCCCTCTCTCTGGCAAGCACACATACCTAAGGCAAAACCTCTAAAAAAGAATTACAATACCAAAAATATTAGAGATATTCTAAAGGAAGGGTAAAGGTAACTATCCAGCAAGACAGTGCCTCGGATGAGCGCTCAGCTCCTATAAGGAGACTGCGGGACGGGACGGGCTTGCACCGGGGACGGGACGGGCTCGCACCGGCCGTCACCGCAGGGCGGTTCCCTCACTCTCCGGCATTTGTGGCTCTCTTGCTCTCTGGGGGAGCACATGCTAAGGCAAAGCCTCTGAAAAAAAGTGCAATAACTAAAACTTTAGCGACTGTTTTCAGGACAAGCTAAGTATCCAGCAAGACAGGTTCCATTGCTGATTTGAAGTCACCCACTAGGGTCAGTCCACACAGAGCGCTGATGGTGTTGCCAGTGTGATAGGAGAGCTCAAAGTGCACCGATAGGGACGGTTTTATCAATTAATTAAAGCCATGGCGCTCCTCTCTGGAAGCACGTTGGCCAGCTGTGGGGACCCGACTGCGCCCTGTGCCTGGGGAGCCGGCAGCCTGTGTCAGACGGCGTCTTCAGGACGCCCTAGGAATTCTTTCAAAATCAGAAGCCAGACTCAGACTTTTGGCAGAGATGGAGACAGTCTGATGAGGGGATGTACTCCGTCATCCTGGCATCTGGCAAATAGCTAGTGTGTCAGTGTCAGGAGGGGACAGGAGACTGCCCTGTGCATGACAGTTACAGAGCAAGCAGCTCTCCCAGTGTCTCTGGGAGCGGGTCAGGGTTAGGGACTCTGCGGACGCCCTGGAGAGGGTAGATGAACATTCCCTTTATTGGCCCGATTCCCCGACGGGACTGTGAGCGAGATCCACAAAGATAGCCCAGGACTCGACTGAATGAGAAAAGTGACAGTAAGGTGACGGAGGGCACTCTCTCCTCTGAGCTAGAAGGTGGAGCGTAGGGAGACGAGGAAGGGGAGCAGGTGGACAGCGCCCTGGAGGAGTCACCGGGGAGGCGGGATAAGCCAGGGGGCGTCGTCCACACCCCAGCCCTGCCCTCCAGGAGGCCCTGGGACGACAGGAGGCTGAGCCCGACTCCAGATGCTGAGGGAAGAGACAGAAGGGGTGACGGTGTGGGGAGGAGAATGGTGGGAGGTGGGAGTGGCTGAGTGACTTGGTGAGGTGAGGAGCTGGAGAGGCTGAAGGCCGGCAGCGATGAAGATCAGCGTGCACACCCTCCAGGGAGGAGCACAGGAAAAGGCCTTGATGGGAAACGCGGAGGCCAGGCTGAGTGAACCAGAGGTGCCGCTGAGCCCTGGGTGGTGGGGTGATCACTGCTTCCAAGCACATGTTTCAGAGGGACCAGTCCCGGTGTTCTAAACCCTGGAGCTACAAAGAAGCCGCTGGGTTGTAGGAAGAACCGTACTTTCTAACATTAGAAAAGTGGGCTGGGAAGGCAATGCCCCATAACCTTGCGATCATTTGGATCCATCCAGTAAATCTGTGTCAAAACTGGAATTGAGGGACCAGCAGTTAGCGTAATGGCTATGTTGCTGGACTCCCACGTAGTCGACCGCGGTTCACGTCTCGGACCCGGTGGCTTAAAACTCACGCCGGGCACATGTGCGTGCGTGCCCAAGATCCCGAGAGGAGAATGGAGGAGAAGGGATTGCAGCATGGCCATCCCCCCTGGGCGGTGATTTCTCGCTTTCTGTCTCTGTCTCTCTCTGTCTGTCTGGCGAGCGCACGCACCCTATGGCAAAAACCTCTCCAAAAAAAAAAACAAAAACCTGGAATTGATTGCTAATTTAAATTCACTCTCCTTTTCACAAAGAATTGATTTTTTTTCCTCACATATATTCAGGAAAATCATTATTTGTCCTTGCAAAAGAATTCCATTTTTGGTTTGTATAACACACACACAAATAATATATACACACACATATATATATACACTAGCAGCATACAACTAATCAGTGAATAATTGAAAGAATGAACTAAATAAAGGGAATTTAAACAAAGTTCAGTAGAGAGAAATTGAAATATATGTACTTGTTCAATACATACACTTTAACAGATTTTAAAAGAATTTTAGATGTATCTGCTAAAGGCTTGTGAAAACTGAGTATAACCAGAAGTTTTGATAACTTCCTTAAATGTTTAATGCAGAAAGAAGATAGTAAACTAACCACACACTTTTTGGTGCCTCCGAAGAATGAATGTTAGAACAGCTAGCTGTTATTAGTAGAGCTCGCTGGGATTAGAAATATTTGTCTGGAGGAATTTTTGGTAGCCAAAAACATTTCTTGTTAGGGCTACTGGTCTGGGAACCGGTCAGTAATAGCAATACCCAACTTTCAGAAGGGTAGAAGTGAGATAAGAATACCTCGGAAGCCCAAATTTTCCTAAAGGTATTTAATTAAAAGGTAAATACAAATGTGGTAAGTTACTTAGAGCATTTTGGTCAACAAGAAGGAAAGATGAATCCCTGCCCTTAGCAGGTGTGAGTGAGAGCGCCTGTCCTTCCAGATGCGGCCTGCGAGTGATTTGAGAGTATTCAACGTACTGGGGACAAATTCCTCAAAGAATGACACTTTGACCATTATTCTTGTGTTTAACAGGGAAACCCAATATGTTCAACTGGCTCGTTGGTCTAGGGGTATGATTCTCGCTTCGGGTGCGAGAGGTCCCGGGTTCAAATCCCGGACGAGCCCGCTTCATTTTCGCCCAACCAAAATTGAAGGAATTGTAACAAGTTATTTTCCCAAATACCGGTTTTAAGGAAGCGCTCCCATTTCACGTGGGGTCCAAGCTTGGGCCTCTCGCGTGGGCAGCACCCACCCACAGACTCGGGCGCAAACTGTCGCGGGTGCTTTCCCAACCGCCCTGCCCCTCCTCAAACGCCAGGGCCCGCGACCGGTACGTGCGCGCCCACCTGCCCGAGCGCCGGAGCAGGTCTGTTCCCGCGTGACTGCGGCGTGTCCTCACTGCACGGAGCGGCGTCACCGCAGGTGCTGGCGTCGCTGCCCTGCGGCCCCGGGGAGCCGGACGGCGGCCTTGGCTGGCGCGAGGAGCGAGCGCGGGTGGGCGCAGCGTGTCCCCCGGGCAGGGCAGGGAGGGGTACGGCTGTACGGGGCTGTCCCCACCCCTGCGCGTCCCGCGTCCTGTGACCAGGGAGTCCCTGCAGTGCCTGGCGCCGGAGCGTGGCGGGGCCCGGGCACCCCACCCAGGGAGACCCCGCGGCTGGAAGCGCGAGGGCTCGTCGCCCCACGCTCGGGAGGCGCGGGCACGACTCGGCAGGAGATGCGCGCCGCCAGCGGGGCAGGGCTGAGTCAGTGCGGGCTGGGGGGGAACCGCGCTGCCAGCCGGGCAGGGCTGAGTCAGTGCGGGCTGGAGAGGGACATGAGAGGAGGGCAGCCCGGCTATTCAATTTCGAGGGCACGTTGACTATGAATATGTAGGCCCTTACCCAGAGGTTGCATGATTTACTTTTTGTTTATACATAAAAGATATGATTTGTAATTCAATAAAATTTATAATTCGGAGTAGATAGTATTACTCAAATTTGACATTTAAAAGGAATTTTCTCCAACTGTTCTTTAAGAATCTTCCAACATTCAGAAAGTCATAGCCACCGCGACAGAGAGGCCTCGGGATGCCACCCCAGAGCATCGTGTGGCTCTGCGTCACTCCCTGGCCTCCAACGGTTTTGTTCTAAATTGCCAAAATGTGGAGAAACCAAGAAGTCTTTTAGTAGGTTAAAATTGTAGATAAACACTAGTACCTACAGACTGGAATATTCTCCAGTGATGGAAAGAAATATCAACCACTGGGCCAGCCAGTGGCGCACAGTTAGCTGCTGGGTCTCACATGGCCGACCGCACAGCTCAAGCTCTGGACCCGGGGGCTTGAAAACATACCAGGCACGTATGCATCCGAGCCCAGGATCCCAAGAGGAGAATGGAGAGGGGATTGCAGTGTGGCTATCCCCCCAAGGGGGTGTTTTCTCACTTTCCCTCTTTCTCTGTTCGGTGAGCACACAAAGTAGCAAAAAAATGGAAATGTTTTAAAAATAATAAAAATTTTAAAAAGGTGATTGAGTTTAATAGACACATGAAATACCAAGATAGGAGATACAGGTAGACAGGATAGTTTTTCACAAGTCAGTTAAGATTTATGAAAGCTTTATGTGCACGCTTAAACATTCTACAGGAATTTATATTAGTAACAAATTGTCTTTGAAGATTTTCAAAGCAGTTTAGTTGAGCAGCTTCCAATGTACTTCTTTTGAGACCATTTTTTAAAACTCAAGTTGGCCTTTGGGCCAGAACCACCATCTTCCAGTAATTCACCAAAACGACGAACACAAGGGAAAGAGGAGAGGCCCTCACGTGTGTCCTCTGGGGCTCTTAGAAAACGTGGGGTGGGTCCGCTGGCAACGCACCTGAGAACCAAGAAAGGTGATGTTGTAGCCATCAAGGGATCGCGCTCTGTTCAAGAGGAATGCCCCAGATGCTGCCATGGCAACACCGGAGCGTCCTCAGTGTCACCCAGCACGCTGCTGCTGTGGCGAACGAGCGAGTTAAGGGCCCGAGTCTTGCCAAGAGAATCCATGTGTGCACTGAGCGCATGGAGCATTCTAAGGGCAGAGAGAGCTCCCCAAAACGTGGGAAGGAAATGACGGAAAAAGGGAGCCCAAGAGAACGGTCCTAGGGTGCAACGGAAGCGCCAGCCTGCTCCCCCCAGAGAAGCCATATGAGAACCACTGGGAAGGAGCCCGAGTTTCTGGGATCTGTTCCCTGTGAGTTCGTGGCATGCTGGGTGTTAAAATAAACTCATCTATGGTCGAAAACAAACAATCAAAAACCTTTAAATTGTGTGTTTTTCTATCCTAAAGACAGAGCAAGTCTGAGCAAAACACGACCAGAACGAAGCCCGGAAAAGGGTGTCCAAAGACCCAGTGCCCTTAAGGTGACTTCCCACAGCTCTTAAGCCAGCTAATAATTACAATGTTCTATAAAAAAATGATTTTTTGATAAATCAAAAGAATTAAATCTAGTGACCATAGTTGGAACAATGCCCTCTTTTCTAAAACAGAAAAGAGGGCCCTGAGTTGCCAAGGTGAAAGGCAAAGCTTTTGCGCTGTCCCTCCGCTCCCACGTTGACGGTGACAAGCACCGCGCCTGTCCTCAGACCGCTCAGCACATCCGCCACATCCAGTCTTGGCCTGGCACTCCAACAAGGCTGCATTCCTGGGCTTCAAAACTCGGACTTCTGAGAAATCTGACGCACAGCAGATTGAATTCCAGGGCCGGTAGGTGCTGTGGTGGGTGGGGTGCTGGGCTCCATGTGGCTCACCACAGTTCGAGTCCTGGACCTGGCAGCTTGACTTCTCATTTTCCCTCTCTCTATCTGTCCCTGGCAAATAAATAAATAAATAAATAATAAATAAATACAATTTTAAAAAAGACTGAGTCCCATGGCCATCCAGGCCTTGCCTTCCCTTCTCTCTTTAACGTGTGGAAACGCGCCCAGAAACACGGAGTGAGGGTGGAGCTATAAGACACTCGAGGCCACAGGTGTCTTGCTAGCAACAGGAGCAAGTGAAGCACGCCCGTCCATGCCTGACAGAGCCTGCCTCAGCCGAGGCGAAGGACGAGAACCCTTCCCCATGGACACCGCAGTGGCAGAGCCACTCCACCTGTGCCACTCCACTGGCCACCGTGCTGCGAGCTGCTGGGGGAGCCAAGGAGGCACTAAGAAAGCAAGGAAGTGGCTTTGGTCCACGACGCAGGGCTGATGCTGTGGGCCCCGACCGTTGAGGGCCCCTCGCACCCAGGGCGTGGGCCCTTAGGGTAGCGTTCTCACCATCGTCCCTGCACCCCAGCCACCCTGGGGAAGTGGCCTGCATCCCTCTTCCCCCGAACTCCACCTCTGCCTGCCTAGAGCCCCTGTGCACCCCGTCAGCCACAGACGGGGAGCAGCTTGGAGCACTCAGGTCTTTGTCCTTCCAGAAGAAGCCAAGAGACACGGCTGCAAACTCCGCCCCGGCAGCAGCTCCCTCCTGTGCTCGCCCATGCTCCTGAGTGGGGCGGCCTCGTCCCTGCTTCTCTTCCTTCTGCTGTAGCTCAGCAGTGCTCGGCCTTAGGGGACGGCGGAAATGCCTCGCTTCCAGAACACCTCGGACTTGGGAGCTCCGGATGGATAGCTGAGGGAAAACGGCGAAAAGGCCTGACCTCTTCTTGCCTTTCTGCTGGAGAACGACAGGGGGGGGGCGGGGCTGCCCTCCAATCCCGCTGTGCCGGCCGCCTTGGTGTCATTCAGGCCCCGTATGGAAACAAGCCACCCTGCCCCAGGAACTACCCTTACCTACCTGTCCTCTAAGAGGCAACTGTCTCTCCACATAACTTTACTTCCTCTTTGCCCAATAAACATGGAGGATGAGAGGCTTAGCGGGTGCATCCCTGGCGTGGCCGCTCCCTCTCCCTCCTGAGATCTGTCTCCAATGGGACGCTTCAGGTGACTGTTGGACAGAAGAGTCGCGTTCAGTCACGTATGTTGACGGCTCACGGTGTGCAAGGTGCAGTTGTCAGTATACCAGAGGCCTCCCCACGGGAGAGGCACTGTGACATCCCGCGTAAAGTGAGGGGGATAAACCAAAGGGGAAATACACTGAAGCTACATAGTCCAGGCTTCACACCTGGACCGTCCTTTCTCGATTCGTGATTTCTAGAAAACTCCTACTACTGAGAAATTAAAAGCATAGCCTTGTTTCAAAAGTAGACACAATCAGAGTGTGAGCTAGAAAGTTCCCCAGCACTTACTTTCTTCCTTCAGCCCCCGCTCGGGCTGGGTCTGTGTGTCCTTGCACATGCTGAGCAGGCGCTGCTGTGTGCTTCATGGGCTGTAGGTCTCCGCCTGCACGCGACAGTGGGAAACAGACACCCACGGTCTCCAGTGTCGAGTGTGCCATGCAGTTTCCACAGTAAATGAATAGAGATGCAGATACATTCACAAACACTAAGGAAGAATTAATACATGGAACAAGTTCTGCAGGTGTATTTTTTAAAAATTTAAAATTCTGGAACCAGCAGTTAGCGTAATGGCTATGTCGCTGGACTTCTATGTATTCGACTGCGGTTCCAGTCCTAGACCCCGGGGGGGTGTGCATGCGTGCCCAAGATCCCAAGAGGAGAATGGAGGAGAAGGGATTGCGGCATGGCCATCCCTTCTGGGGGGTGATTTCTTACTTTCTGTCTCTCTGTCCCTCTCTGTCTTTCTGGTGATCACATGTGCCCGATGGCAAAAACCTCTCCAAAAAAAAAAATTGGAATAATAATAATCGGAAAAAAAGTTTTTAATTCTATTCTGCTTTCATGTGCAGAGTGTAAATAATGCCTTTCTGCGGTGCAGACTCTAAAGAAGGTTGCATACTCCAAATTTGGGGGGCATATTAGGAAAAGTGACATTCAAAAATTAAAATATGTCATTCAAATCAATGGATAGTCTATAAATATATTGTTATCATAAATGGACATTTCCCATATACCATCAAAAATTTAAAATGAACTTAAGGAAAATAAATAGTATCATAAAAGTAACTTGAACGTATCAAAGATAATGCTTTAATTGAAGACTAGATTACCTGTGTGGCATTAAGACATGGACCTCTTATTTCTCAAAGGCCCTTGCAACTGCATTGCTATCTGAGCCGGGGATTGGGCACCTCGATTTCAATAACCATTGTAAAAAATTTCAATGACCAGTGTAAAAGAAGTATGTACACAGTAGAAAAAGGTAATGCAATCATTTGAAATAGCCCAAGGGGGGAAGTCCCTTCAAAATAGCTGACTGTTCCGTCTAAGACTGGGCTCCAGGCACAGATTCCAGTTCACGATATATGAGAAAGATCTGCCAGTTAGCTACAAATACCTATTTATTTTGCGGTATTACACATAATACATGTACCTCTTTTTTTTGCCACTGGGCATGTGCCCTCACCAGAGAGTGGCAGAGAGGGAAAATCATCCCCCGGGAGGGAAGGCCATGCCACCATCATTTTCCTCCATTCTCTTCCCAGGATTTCAGGCATGCATAAGCACGTGGTGTGATGTTCAAGCCCCCACCCCTCCAGTACTCACACTAGAGTCAGTCCTGTGGGAATCCACCTTAACCACCACCGCGCCCCTGCTGGTCCCTTGTAACATTTAAGAAAATATCATATGTACTGGGATAGTATACAGTAGCTTTTAACCAATTCTGAAGCTAAGAAGTGGAATTGATAGTTTTTCCAAGCAAAAGATTAAGCCCCTCCCTTTATTCTCCTGAGGACTTTTGACAAATTGCAAATAACTGAAAAGGTGAACTTCGCAGGCAGGCTATTCTTATCAGTAATATGAAAATTAGCTTTATAGCCTTGTAGTTTTAATGTAGTCAGTCTTGGGGCTAGCAGGTGGTGTGGTGGTTAAGGCACTGTGCTTCCAGTGGGTGACCTTGGTTCAAGTCTTGGACCTGGCGGCTTTTCTCTCTCTCGGTGTCACTCTCTGGTGAGCTCTGTAGCAAAATAACAGTGACAAAATTGTTACTCCGACTTACTTCACAAGAACCTCCAACCCTAGGTATGAATCCAACCAACCAGGTAAATTCCCGAGCTAAATATTTGAGTTAAGCAGCTCTTAAATTACCAGATCTTGAGCTTGGAAAGGCCCTAATCCTTGCACGGTACCTACTACACTCCTTAAACCGCACAGATCTACAAGGGGGATTACCCAAGGCCAAGAAAAAAGCACCAGCTCTCTTTCGGAAAATATGAATGGCTCTAAAAAGAGCCGTTGAGGTTGAGTGTGTGGTCTACTATTATTTCACTTGGCGCTGGTGTACTTGGTGACAGCCTTGGTGCCCTCGGACACGGCGTGCTTGGCCAGCTCCCCGGGCAGCAGCAGGCGCACGGCCGTCTGGATCTCCCGCGACGTGATGGTCGAGCGCTTGTTGTAGTGCGCCAGGCGCGACGCCTCGCCCGCGATGCGCTCGAAGATGTCGTTGACGAACGAGTTCATGATGCCCATGGCCTTGGACGAGATGCCCGTGTCGGGGTGCACCTGCTTCAGCACCTTGTACACGTACACCGAGTAGCTCTCCTTGCGGCTGCGCTTGCGCTTCTTGCCGTCCTTCTTCTGCGCCTTGGTCACCGCCTTCTTGGAGCCCTTCTTCGGGGCCGGCGCCGACTTGGCCGGGTCAG